AGCCGCCGCCGCTGCTGCAGGGAGTGACTTTTGTTCCTCCTTTTGTTGTTTGTTCACTGTTTTGTTACCGTAGATCTTAAACTGTCCATTCATTTTGAAATGCTTATTGTCGAGCGTTATTTCAGCCCACACATTATGCAAATCTCATCCAAGCCAATCAGCTGCCAAAGCTCCACAGCGCAGCGTCTCAAATATAGAGAAATACTCGTCATCGGGTGATTGTGCTGCACGGCGGTGAGGAAACTCACTGCACACTCCTGGACAGGATGTCGTCTCCTTTGTCGCTCTGACTCAGAGGCGCTGATGCCAGTTTGTGCCGGACTGCGCAAACACACACACACAACAATGCACACTTTACTCCTGCATGAACACACCCAAGTGTCTGAGGTGTGCACACATGATGGACAGGGATTTTTCTAACAAACCCCACACACCTGTGTAAAGGGCACACACAAATACAGAGAGACAAGTGAGCCAGCACACACATGCACACACACACACACACTCTGAGTGTACTTACAAACACACAGTCAGTCCCTGCAGCTTCGCTCCAGTTGAGCTCCAAAGTGACTCACATCCTGAGTGCTGCATCAGTTCTTCTGTCACTTGTTGCAGCCATCACACTGAGATCTACTGCTACAAAAGTTGCGCTGTAAAAATACACATATATGTAAATTTAGATTTAGTAGATGAAATCATTCGTTTAAAAAAAATCGTCTTAGAGTTGCAGAAGACCAGAAGACCATCTGCAGTAATGAGTTAATGGGGATAAATTTGATATCCCTGGTGCTGCCCCTGACAACAAGACTTAAGCTGTTTTCAAGCATCAACCAGCACACTGAGCACCTTTTATCCATCATCTACCTGTCTGTGTTATTAACTCTGAATCACCATGTCCCATTAGAGTAACAAATACAGTCTTCTCTGGGACTCCCTGAGCTCCATCATGCCGTAGTTTACTCTGGATCGCTTTTGCAGATGTTTTGCTGGCCTGCTTTCCAACTGCTTCAACTATTACATTTTTTAAGCGATAAGGCACACCGGATTATTATTATTATCATTAACGTCTCTATAATCACACCTAAGGTGCACTAGATTGTAAAGGTCATTAAGAATTGGTGCATTGATTGGTTTGTTGTTGTAGCCCGGGCAACGTTACATAAATACACTTCTAGTTTAGACATTACAGTCAGACAGTCTTGTAGACTGCTCAGGGGTCCTGTTACGGGGCCGATCAGGTAGTGACACAGCATACAGTAATGGGTATCGAATTTCCGTTCAGCGGAGTGGCTTCATTGCTTACCGAAGTCGTACTCACACATTTTGACAGATTTCGACAGAGTGCATTGTACCACATAAAATCGGTCAGTAAGCACAAGTAATCATACATAAGGCGCGCTGGATTATAAGGCACACTGCCAATTTTTGAGAAAATTAAATGATTTTTAGTGCGCTTTATAATCCGAAAAATATGGTACATACGTCAATCCCACCTCTATTCCCTCTCTAAAGCCAGTGCAGTAGTGGGAGATGACTGTCTGACATGAGTCTGGTTCTGCTCAAGGGTTCTGCCTGTTAGAGGAAGTTTCTCTAATCTATTTTAACTTGCTAAATGCTGCAAAGTGTTTCACTCATGTGGATGACTATGGGATTGGAGAGGATCTGATGGGCCTTTGAAAATACAGTATAGTCTACGGCAGCTTTTTTGTTATGCATCTTGGATAAAACTTGTTTTGAATTGTACAAAAGAAAATTAAGACCACAAGAAGAGGAAAAAATAATTACAGGAGGGAGATTTTTTACATTTCCATTTTGAGATTAAAGTTGAATTTTAAAAAATATTTTAAATCTTGAAATTTTGATATTCACGAAATTACATAATCTTGAAATTTCAACTTTAATCTCAAACTTTTAATATTTTTAATCTCAAAAATTCAACATTATTCATGGCATTTCGTAATCTCGAAATTTTGACCTTTATTTTGAAATTTCACTTTTTAATCTCAAAATTTTGACTATAATATAGAAATTTTGACTTAATTGACATAATTTCAATTTTTTTATTCTTGAAATTTTAATCATGAAATTTCGATTTTAATCTCCTTCCTATAATTATTTTTTTTCTCTTCATGTGGCCCTGTTTAATTTAATATCTACTGCTGATGTTTGTTGATAAGCTAAAGCATTACAAGGACAGAGCTGCACTAGCTTAAGTTATTACAGTTTATATTTTTGAGGGACAACACTGGAGGGGAAGAGAAACAGTGAACCTGAACAGACAAAGCCTGTCCTGCTTTAACTAAGCAGGTTCAACATGTGATCTTTGTTTCATTGAAGAAACACAGTGGATTTAAAAACGACTTAAATCTCCTAACTTGGCACTCGAGCAGGAAAGTTGTGCAGTCTTATCCCAACATCAGAGATCCATGATCACCGACCGTGATCAAAACAAACACTTGATAGGTGATTAGATTTGCAGAACAGTATTTGGAAACTATTTACTAAGAACTGAGAGATTTTTATCTGAGGATTTACGGCCAACCAGAACCCACATACAAGGTTACACAACAGTGTAGGAGGTGCGCTCGTGTTTGTTCCAAGAACACATCTTTTACCTGGAGCTGTTATGAACTTTGCAAATGTTAGAAATGGGTCCAATTTTCTCTGAGAATAGAAGGCATTTGTACACCAGAGAAAATATGTACACCTTTCGTTTTCACTTTTGATGTTCTGTGTGAATAAAAAAATTATTAATGGAAGCTTTTGATAGTGAAAACTTGACAAATGCAGGATCATGCTTATCACTTATCACGGTCTGTGGCAATCTCCTCCCCGGTGCTCTTACGTCTGGAAAAATTCTGTGCAAGTGCCTGTAATAGCTCCCTCCATGAGCAAAACATTGTCAAATGTGCTTACTGGTGCCATTAGCATGGGAAAAAAATGTGTGAAAAACTGCACGAATAACCGCTCTCAAATGGGATGAAACATCACAAAGTGTCCTCTGGTTGATTTTCCAGTATGTAAGATGTAAAAAGTGCCTTCAGGTTGCCTTTACAGTACAGGTGATGTAAAAATGGTGTGTAAGGTTGCCTAGACGAAAAGAAAACTAATACCGTCTGAGATAGACAAAGAGAAAACTAGTACAACTAATACCGTCCGAGATAGATGAGAAAAATAATACCGTCCGAGATAGAGAAGGAGAAACCAAATTACCATCTGGGAGCTCAGGGTCTGAAAGCTTGTGACTTATTTCATTTTTCTGGGAAACAATGGTTTCATGGTGTTCAGGGCAAACATGGAACAGACCAAATAAATTATCTGTTTGTCTCATGATTTTAAATCATTTTATGTCTTTTTGGTTTTAATTTGATGTATTTTCTTGCATCCAGAAAGCACTTTGAACTGCCTTGTGTATGATCGGTGCTATACAAATAAACTTGCCTTGCCTTTCCAGTATTTAAAATTTACAACAGTGGATGCCCTCTGAGTAAATTGGTTGCAAAAAAGTGTCTTCAAAATTTATATAGTGTCCTCTGGCTGCCCTACCAGTTAGTAAGATGTAAAAATAATGCCCTATGGGTGCCCTGAAGGCATTTTAGATGTAAAAAAGTTCCCTTTGGTCGCACTTCGAGCATTCAAGATGTAAAAAAAAAAAAAAAATTATCTACTGGTCGTCATCCAAAATACCCTCCAGTGTTTAAGTCATAAAATAGTGCAAAGAGCAGCAAAAAGACTAAACAGAACTCACCTACTCTCTTCCAGCAGCCGCTTGTTTGTACGGAGACCTCGGGCCAGTCCATTATGGACTGCAGTGGGGTGTCGCAGCTCAAGGAAGAACACTTATGATCATTTCTTCATGGAAATGCAATCAGACCGAGACGCTAAGGCAGAAGAACTACCCCGTCTGCAGTGCAAACATGTTTTTAACTTTGCCTAATTTCTTTAGCAAAGAGACGAAACACAACTCACCCACTCTCTTCCAGCAGCCGCTTGTTTGTACATGTGATCTATAGCCAGCATTATTTGTGGCTATAGAGCGGCTTTTTGGTCAAGCGTGTGGCTCTTGAGACCGCCGTGTATTGCTATCATGCACTCCTTGCTGAAGTTGAAGTCATCTCTCGGTGTTTTAGTGTGTTTGACCCTAACTTAATTTTACGCCGGAATATCCCTTTAAGTTACACCAGTTGGAAAAGAGGACATGCTTACTGTTTGTGTCTGCATCTTACGAACTGCCCCTTTAAAAATCCGGTCCCCTGCTGGTTTGTTTGTGCCGGGGTGAATGACCGCCAATGTCGCCAACCTGCAGGACAAATACGATCCCCGACAAACAAACTGCTGCTTCATTTCTGGTAAGGGAACAAGTGAGGACACCGGTGTCAATCATTCACCAGGACGGTGGCATCAAATATTTTTTCAGTCCTGTGGCTGAAATGAAGAATGAGAAGCCCGTGAATGAACACTGACTCATACACACAGGAGATGAAAGCGAAGAGGCCGATACTATAAAACCCTGAGGACACCACGGCACGTTTTACCGCCCCAGATAAAACAAGAAGAGGCGATTTCTCACCAAAGGCAGCATGTTACATCACTTCTTCTGTCTTTTTCTTTCTTTTTTCATGCATTTCTTCTCTTTTTTTCTCTTCTTTGGATTATTCAACAGCGAAGCCATCGAGCCTGTCACTCACCAACCAGACAGATCAAGGCCCTGCAGTGTGAAATGTGTCGGCCATGTTGGCTTCGTCAGAGCTGGTGGCACGCAGAGCAACTGCTCATTAGAAGGCAAGTGTGACGGAGCCTCTCTCTCTCTCTCTCTCTCTCTCTCTCTCTCTCTCCCTTCTCACCAGACGGGTTTCTACTTCCTCACCCAAACAGAGTAAAAAAAGGGGGGAGGGAGGCAGATGGTGGTGGAGGAGCGAAAGAGGAGAGAAAGCAGGAGCGGGAGTGAAAGTGGAATGAGAAGGATGGCGGGTAAGAGGAGAGAGAGGAGAAGGTGCCGGCGGGTATCATTAGGGGTCGGGCGCGGGGCTTTTTAACGAGCCAGCTCACAGCATCCCTCCATCCTCGGTGGCGCCTACTGGCATGAGGCCCTAAGGTTCTGGCTCTCCTAGCAGGGGGTCCTCGCCTGTTCCATCACCGCCGAACGCAGGGGGGAGCTGAGGGTGGAGATTTATTCTCTCTCACTACCTGTGGAGACACATTTGCACAGAAATCTGCACAGGCTTAAAAGAAAGAAAAAAAAAAAACCTCACTTTTATACACACAGCCTCAGGGGGAAATGTTTACCACATGCTCTCCCTTTTTTCTCCCGTCAGAGGTATAATTGACTCTGCCCGACACATAAACATGGCGGTAATGACCCCGGCCTGCTCTTGAAGTCGGAGGAGAAGCACACAGCTGCGCGAGGTACAGGGAAAAGTCTTAGAGGAGTGGCGCCCGCTGTTTTCCTCTGCCATCACCGTAAGAGGCTGACCAGGAAACGCTTCCTCACAGGCGTGGCGTGTGGAGGAGAGACTTATCTTATTTGAATGCATCAGTTAACGGCGGGACGTGGAAGATTAGAATCACAAGGCTGAGAGGTCGCCTGAGATAGTTTCGTCAGCGACGGCGGCAAAAAGAATAAAAGCAACAGAGGTTCATCGAAAGCAAAGCGAGATACAAGGTAGAAAACAAACAGACACGTAAAAGGTGTCATGCTTGAATAAAATGTGACGCTGACTTCAAACAGCAACTCTGATGAGAAAAAAATATCAGGCAAAATCTTTCTCACTTGTTTCTTCTCTACCTTTGCTGCTCTTGAACCAAAGAAAACAAGAACAAATGGATAAAACACAAACTTTAGTCGTGCCCTAGTTCAGGTGGTGCAGCCCTCAAAGGACTGGGTCAGACCAAAGTGAATTAACCCTAAAACACTATCGCTGAAATCGGTAACACCATCACTATCGCCGGGTGATTTTTACCTGATATAATATACCCAAGAAAAAGTACCTGTCATCAAAATATATCAAAATAGGACAATACATGAGTTTCTATTCCATCCATTCCTGGGGCATGTGAGTCTTCCCTGGTGAAGACTCAGGGTCCTTGGCACAATAACAGCTGCAGGAGAGAGAATCACCCGGCGATAGTGTTCCAGGGTTAAGATGGTCTTCACTTGGAGGATTGCATGCTTACAATTGCGTCATTTAGTGTTGCCATTGTAGCTTAACAACAGGTGGCTACCTAGCTAAGCAGCTAGTATAGCTAGCGTCATGTATAGGACCCTATATGTACTGTTGATGAAGTTAGGTGCTGTTCTGAGCATTATTTGTGGCTATAAAGTGGCGTTTTGGTTGAGGTTTGTTTATGGCTCCTCAGACCGCTGTGAATTGCTATCTTGCGGTCCTTACTAAAGTTGGTATAACTAGAGAAGCAAGCGGTCGGCAACATTCATCTGTTGAGGGGGTGTCTAACTCGGTGTTACGGTGTGTTTGACCCTAAATTAATTATATGCCGGAATATCCCTTTAAGACAGTCTTCGCTTGGAGGACTGCATGTTTACAAAGCTAACCTCATAACGGCATCAAGCAGAGTCACCATTGTAGCTTAACAACAGGTGGCTACCTAGCTAAGCAGCTAGTATAGCTAGCGTCATGTGGCCTAAACACCATTACGAACTTTTTTAAGATAATTTCAAATTTCAACAAATCTGTTTTTTTCGTCATTTGTACAACACACTATCGAGTTAAAACCAAATATTATCACTTGACAGTTTGAGAGTCCACTTTTATGACTGAAAACTGATGCTTTAGTTTGTAGAAATGAAGCTCTGTGGTTTCTTCGTCTGAGTGATCTGTTTATTTGTCATATTTTCAAAAACACTTAAAGGAAAACCAAAAAATCTTTTTGTAAGCGCTGCTGCCTGTATCATCCTCTCTCCTGTTTTGTGCAGGAACCTTATCTGTCTCTGGGACCTCAGTCTGAGATCCATAACACCCAAAGAACCAGTCGAAAGAGACTAAATCGCTTTTAACGCTGAGGAACTACTGACTCGGCTGCTCATTATCTATTGGTTGAAACAGAGTGGCTCCTTGTGCGTTAAATCTCGTCACCTGACATGATGTTCGATATTAATATTGATCTGAGACGTGGTAACAAGCGTTTTAGGAGTAAGCTGAACTGACTGTAAAGGTTTTAAGATTTAACCTTCCCATTTCCCTGACCTATTATTTCTCTCTATACTCTGTTTGTCCAGTGGAACAGATTTGCAGCCATCTTTTTTGACCTGTAAAAGACCTCGTAAACTTTAAAAGGTTGCCTCAGTAAGTCATTGTAACAAAGTGTGCATTATCCTCTGCAGTGCTGACACCAGTAGTGCCAAAGCTGGCCAGATAAAACACTATAAAAAAGTGACTGCTGGAGATGAGAGTGGGAGTTCACGTCCGAATGGATGTCAGCTTGATCTACACTGAATCAACACACAGCCAAGACTGATAAGGAGGCTTAGCTGGTGAAGAGATCCTCCTGGTGCCGCTCACACGTGTGCACAGTTTTGTGAAGATACGGCGGCGGCGGCTAACGTGACGGGCACAGATACTGACACATATAGAGATAATGATACACAGAGACACATGGAGATAGAGAAGAGAGGGGGGATCGTTGGCAAAACAAGCAACATCAATCGCTTCGAAAGGTTTCCGTATCAGTCAGGTTGATGGAATCAGTGAGAAAGAAAGAAAGAAAGAACGAAGGGGGAAGATGTGAGAGGAAGAGAGGGTGGGATTTAGATGAAAGAGCCGAAAGAAAGAGGCGAACAGATCAAACAGCAAAGTTGAGGAATAAAAGTGAAAAAACAAAACAAAACAGGGGAAGGGGTGCTGTTTAAGGCAAGAACAGCTTTGACACAAACCACAAGAAGCGAACAACAAGTATTGAAAAATCAAACACGATGAGGGAAGGAAGGAAGATAAGATGCAAGAGGAGACGAGGAGTGAAAAAGAGATGCAATGGGATTTTTTTTTAGTCAGCAACAAAAAATTACTGAATTTGGGAATCTCTGGGATATCTGTGTCCACAAAACCCCCCACCCACCCCATAATATTACGGTCTGGAATCTGCCTCGACTATGTTAAAAGAATAAAAGTTTTGCCATGGCTTTTTGAAACGCTATAAATATGAGCAATCCGTCCAGGGTACTTTGCCTTTAAATTATGGCCCCGCCCCCTTTTGGGTGTAGCCAAAAATGACTGGAAGTTTGGGGTGTAGTATAGTGGTAAACATGAAGACTATAAATGAGATGCAGATAGGAAATTGCTGTACATAAAAACAAAATAAATAAATATAAAAATGTTAAATATTTCAATGATATAAACAATGGAAAAAAGACGCTTTAAAGATGTTACAAATGAGAAAAATATAGGTAAATAAAATAAATAAAAATATAAATTTTAAATATTTCAGTAACAAAAATGTTAAAAAAAAAACTGACACTAAAAGATGTTACAAGTGAGAAAAATATAGGTAAATTTTCTTGAACAAAATAAATAAAACCAAGACATTCTAAAATATAATTAACTATGCATTTTTTTAAGTTATTCCTTAATTTTTACACATTTTATCAAACTCAAAACTCTTTTCTACATTTGTCCTTTCTAATTTTTATTTATTTATTCGTATTTGTTCACAGCGGTTTTCTTATTTTGGCATGGTGTGTGTAAGGGGGGCTCACTCTTGCCCAGGGCCCCAGAATATCTAGAACTGGCCCTGTTCTAAACATTATTTTTGCAGTTTTAAAACCTTGATCACAGAATTTTGTTCATTTAAATTCATAGTTTGTTGTGTTTTCTTTCAATCCTAATTGTGAATGATTTATTGAGGTCATTTCTGTTAGAAAGGAAAAAACAGAATAAGTGTTTCTTTTGTACGCATTGACCCCAACCAGAACATCTATAAGCAAAACATGGAGGAGCTTTAGCACCAAAGAAAACTCTTTCTCTGACTTTTCCCCTCTGACTATAAAACATGAAGGCAAACAGATTCGATACCCCTCGCTGCTCTGTGTGATAAAGTAACACACACAGACACACACACACACTAACAAATGCTCGCTGTGTGTGGCCTGAACCCTCCTATCTGAGTACCAGTGCTCATCCTGACACTCCAAAAAGGCTCAGCGTGCGCTCTGTCTGAGATGTTTAATTCATGCAGCCGCTTGCTGGAGCTCAACGTGAACGTGTGACCGAGGAGGTTGCACCCAGAAGAGAAAGAGGCCGTGCAAATAAAGAAATAAGAGATGCTGGTTAAACCGATGGCGAAAAAAAAAAGCTAAAGTTATAGAAATAGCTGAAAACTGGAGGAATGAAGTGATAGCAGAGAATAAGGAGAGAAAACAGATTAAATGACAGAGAGCTCATGTTTGAAGCTCCGATTCTGGCTCACAAAATGAGTGATGGAGAGAATCAGAGCAGCAAAACTGAAGAAGAGAGAAGAGAGAAAGACTAAAGTGAGAAAACAGGAGCGGGGAAATCTCACAGACACACACAGAGACTAAAAGAAAACAGTGGAGATCTTGTCCAGGCAGGAGGTGGGAGCCTGCAGTGCTGAGGTTTGTGTGTTGCAGGTCTCAGGAGAGGCGGCAGGGGACTGAGTGCTAGCGATTTTCTGTCATATCTTACTTTCTCTTCATCCCTCACACTGGTTAGCCCTCCTCCTCCTCTCCCTCCTCCTCCTCTCCCGTCTTCACTGCACCCTTACTGCTGCAGCATGTGGAGCAGGAGCACCACAGGGTGTGTAGAGTTGGTGGGCCTCCATTTTCAAAGCATTTAAAGATGAGTTTAATTGAGGGCTTAATTCATGAATTTTCAGGATTCATTTTTTTCTAATGCAACTTGATCTTTTCTGATTCTAACAAAGTTTCCTCAAAGTTTTGTCTTTTTGTTTCTCTACAAAATAAAAGTCAATCAACTTTTAAATGAAGTATTTTATGTTTATTTCCTGGATTGCCTTGATTTACTCACCAGATCAGCGGTGACCCTCTCATGTCTGTTTGATATAAAGCTGGAGCTCATGTGTTGTTGACTTAGTATGAAGCCTGGTGACAGGAAGAAAGAGCTGACTTGGCAGAAGGTGAAACATAATCTGCAGGTCAGCACCGTCTAATCGAACTTAGTAGAGTGGTTTATCATTTTATTGTCCAAGCCGCTGAGAGGAGTTTTTCACCAAAGAAGACTGATATCGGTTATGATGCTTCAACACGACCTCCGAAGAAAATCAGCATCTAGATGGATTATTTCTATGTCTTCAGCATTCACGCTATTCATCTTCTGGCTCAAACCTGAGCATGCAGACACTGGAGTATGTGCAGAACGGACTCTCTTCTATTGCTACACGTGGTTTCTGCAAAGTTTGCATCCATCTATAGGGGAATGTTGCATTGGAAATGAGAAGTTTCAATTATATATTTGCAAATCTGAAAGTGAAATTTAGCCTTTTTTGGTTATGAAAGAAAGAAAGTGTAAGTCACTGAAATGATGCAGAGACAAAAACTCAATGGAAACATACCTTTTCAGAAAATTAAGTAAAATGTTAAAGGGATATTCCGGCGTAAAATTAAGTTAGGGTCAAACACACCGCAACACCCTTTTGAGAGATGAATGTTGCCGACCGCTTGCTTCTCTAGTTAAACCAACTTTAGTAACGACCGCACGATAGCAATACACAGCGGTCTGAGGAGCCATAAACAAACCTCAACCAAAACACCACTCTATAGCCACAAATAATGTTCAGAACAGCACCTAACTTAACAGTACATGTAGGGTCCTAGCCACAGCACTAGCCACCAAACATCTTTTTAACTTTGCCTGATTTCTTTAGCAAAGAGACTAAACACAACTCACCTACTCTCTTCCGGCAGCCGTTTGTTTGTAGCGAGACCTTGGGCCAGTCCATTACAGACTGCTGTGGGGTGACGCAGCTCAAGGAAGAACATTTATGATCATTACTTCATGGAAATGCAATCAGACCAATGCTTAGGCAGAAGAACTACCGTGTCTGCAGTAGAATGATTAATATGGTGAGAAATGATCATAAATGTTCTTCCTTGAGCTGCGTTACAAACAAACAAGCGGTTGCTGGAAGAGAGTCAGTGAGTTGTGTATTGCCAAGTATGGCACATTTTAAAACTAGAATCAAGGAGTTTTTAAGTACTGAATGCACATGTCTTCTTACTGAACGCTGATTTGTTGTTGTGTTTTGCATACTGTAACTGTTTTGTGTTTCTGTGTGTGTGTTTTTCTTTTCTTTATGTGGAACTTCTTGTGCTGCTATCCTGGCCAGGACCCCCTTGTAAAAGAGATTCTGAATCTCAATGGGTTTTATTTCCTGGTTAAATAAAGGTTACTAACTAACTAACTAACTAACTAGTCTCTTTGCTAAAGAAATTAGGCAAAGCTAAAAAGATGTTTGGTGGCTAGTGCTGTGGCTGGGACCCTATATGTACTGTTGATGAAGTTAGGTGTTGTTCTGAGCATTATTTGTGTCTATAGAGTGGCATTTTGGTTGAGGTTTGTTTATGGCTCCTCAGACCGCTGTGTATTGCTATCCTGCGGTCGTTACTAAAGTTGGTATAACTAGAGAAGCAAGGGGTCGGCAACATTCATCTCTTGAGGGGGTGTCTAACTCAGTGTTACAGTGTGTTTGACCCTAAATTAATTTTACGCCGGAATATCCCTTTAATACCTAGAAAATGGTGTCATTGCCGATTCAAGTAAAAATACTCAGTAAAGGATGCCAGGGAACCAACTGGATGCGAGTGTGTCCTTGGCCATGCAGGCCTTTCTGACAGATGTGCGCACATTCACAGCTGCTGTGTCGAACACTGCTGTCCAAGAAAAATAGACTCAACATCCACGAGGCTTTATGAATACTCTTTAAGCATTTGTCATGTTGGCGTACATGAATAGTGCGATTGGAAGAGGGTGAAAGCGGATATTGGCAGTACTCACATTCATTTTTTTTTGGATCTTAACTGCTGTCTCTCCTGCAGGGTCCACAGACCTGATGTGAAGCTGCTGCTTGCCTACTGGAGGAAACCTTCCCAGACTGCATCGTCAGACCTTTACAGCATCTGTCACATCTGTCAGGTTATTTTTTCCTGCACAGTCAGTGTACATCTGCTGCCTGTGAGTCGCTGTGCACATACCCTGTGTATTGCATCAAACCCTGCACGGTAGCAGCGTGTCTGACGGACTTTGCGGCGCTAACCCACGTTGTTTCCTTCGGCCTGGTTGTGCTGCAAAAGTACCTGCACAGTTGGAGAAGATTTTAAAACACAGAAGAAAGAGAAAACCCATTTCACATGAAGTTTAATCTCTTTATTATATATATACTCATCATGGTATCAATATCATCATTAATATCCATCATTAGGCACCTTAAAAGTAGATAGACTGGGGGGGTAGAGATTTGATCATGCCTGTATGTCACAAAAAAACCCGTCGAATCATGCTGTCAACACGGCACAAAAAGGAAATCTCAGATTTGCCATCTGCTCGGATTGTAACCGGAATACCGTCTCTACATTTGCTTCTGCACTTGTTTATGCACAACTATCGTAAAACGTGCCAGCCGGTGCCACTGTTTACCCATAACCTGTTGAGAATTATGTGTTTGTGTGCTTGTTGATGTGTATTTACACACAAAAATCCCACTCTGTGTGCATTTTGACGTGTGTGCCAGCATGTGTGAAAGTTCTTGTGCAATATCGTGTGAGGTTTAGTCTGTCGTTCTCTTGTGTAACAGTGCACCGTTGATTAGCGTCTATGAGTACGTGCCAAACCTCTCTCAGGTGGCCGGGAGACTACAAGCTGAACCAGTTCAGGCAAGTCCCGGGACATTTTGGCACATTCACCAGATGTAGAGCTGGTTGTACGTGGATACCAGAGCAAAAATACAGTGGAAAGTTTCCCTCATGCCATTTTATGAGAAAAATCTATCCATCTTTGCACACACTCTGGAGAGAAACAATGAAGATGCAAGTTTTACTGCCTACATTCAGGGTTATTATGGTGCTACAACGTGAGTTTAGGACTTGTTTCAAAGTTTAGACAGTTGGCATAAAAAAATTCAGGAAATTAATTTCAAAGGGAGAAAAGGACCTGATACAAAGGCTTTCAATAATCTGTTGAAGTTGGGATACAGACACAGTGCTTTCTTTCCTTACAGGGCCACAATCCAAAATATGATGAAATTCACTGCAAGTGTTTTTTTATACGCAAGGATCACAAGAAGTCGGCCTCGTGTGTTTTTCCCACCAGATTAAATCAGGGAATGAATGGACATTGGTTTTGCCAGCTTCTTCTTAGCATATTTTAATACATCTGATCACTGCCAAACAGCTCTTACTTTAAATATAAGGAGTTTTAGCATTTTTGGGGGGGAAAAGCAGACTTCATCATTGCAAAGAGTTGCATAAGAATATCAATATAATTTTTTGTCTTTTAAATCTAACAGCAGGTTAGCTTAGCCTAGCATACAGGCTGTGAACGGTTTAACCAGCTCACAGCCTTTTTCCAGCTTGATAGTCAAACAAAGTGCTTCAGGGGAACAGAGAAGAAGATTATCACATTTTAAGACAGCCAGGTGTTAAACTGGGCTGAGCTAACTGTGTTTTTATGATCAAATACAAGAGTAGCCCTCGTGCTAATATCTCAATTTTGACTGTAAAGTGACTCAGCAATTTTTTACACTACATTTAATCTCTTAAAATAAAGACTTATGGACATGATACAAGAACACAATAGAAAAACTTCAACAAAACTTTAAAGTATTAGTGATTAGTGAGTCCTCAAGGTGCTTGTTTTTGTTGGTTTTCTACTTTAGGGGTTAAACCAGTAGCACCCCAAGTATCAGGTTCATATCATATCCACATGGTGTTGTTTATGCACCAAGAATTAGCCTTTCAAGTGGGTAATAAGCAGTCATTCATTCAGGAGACAAAGATTTAGACAACATGATTCATATGAGACACAAGAGGAACAGTTTCTGTCACCTAACAGGATGGTTGATACTAGAAAACAAACGGTGTTACAGAAAGATTCAGGAGTAGCTACATATTTCAATTTGGAAGTGTGTGTGAGTTTTTACTTTGACTCATTGAGGGAAGAGATCTTTTAAAGTTAGCTACACAAACCAGCCTTCATATAGTGTAGTCAAGCCAACCATTTGCAAAGGGACACAAAAAAATACAGAATAATTCTGATGGCGTTGACTTGAAAAGAGCTGCAAGTAGCACAATCTTATAACCCCCAATTTTTACTGCATCCGGAACGGCAGCGGTTTTCGCCGTCAGCAAATTTCTTCCAGATCTGTTGGTGAGGCAAATTTTGTGGCGGACAGCGAGAATCGCAAGAACTCACAAGAACCCATGTATTCACTTGCAATCGCACCATAACGAGTTATCTCTATAAAGAAAGTCACAGAGGCTAACCATATAAACAGTAGATTGTGTCTTTCTAAAGGAGGAAATCCATTTCTATGGATTCATGGTGTCATCGGGGTGAAATGCTGTATGTAAACCTTTCAGCATGGATTAATTTGTGCTGAATTTATCTGGCGTGCTCCGGCGTCCGGAAAAAATAGAACTCTTGCGATCCGCTGTGGAGTCTGGCGATCCGCAGCAAAACTGAAACAAGGCGGTGGAAAGGCGGATACGACATTTACGAAGTCGTTCTGGATGCGTTAGAAATCGGGGGTAAGACTCTGCAAAGGGTGCGGCGTCTTATCGAAGCTATTTCAGTCACTGGGAATTTTAGTCTTTAATTTTAAAGGTTGATAAGTGCCACTAAACAACTTCCTGATACCTTCTTTAAACTGATAAAAATATCAACGTTAGGATTTAATCTACATCTCTAACTCACCAGCCTCCCACCTTATCCAACCATTCCTCCCAGTTCACATATTGACGGTTTCCAATTTGAAATGGAAGAATGGCGAAATTCCCAACTTAACGGAAGCGCCGTCCCCCACCCTCCTTCCTCCTCCTGTGGCCTTGACAGACGCGGACACGGCACCTCCACCCGACCGTGAAATAGCCACTTGTGTTTTAGCCCGAACAACTCCATTCCTATGTGACTGTCAGCTCACACAAACACACACACAGACACACACACACACACACACTGCTGGAGGCTTTAGTAATCCTAGTGGACTGACTGGATGTCCTGATCAATACTATTCAATCTACACGCAGGTCTTTGCTGCATTAGAGGCTACTGCTGCTATCCAAACAATGAATGGCTGGACACACAAGGACCCCGGTGTACAAATGGAATCCCATTAAAAAGCAATGGCCGACATTGACCCCCTTTTTTTTTTTTTTCGACCCGTCGCAGCTATCTTACGCTCCTTTGATTGACAGCGCCCGTCCGAGGAGGAAAGATGTCGTTACCATGACAACAGCTCATGCTACATCGGAGCTTTTTGATGAGTATCGCATAAAAACCAGCTGCTGATACCAATTTAAGAGGTCATCGTACAGATAGTTACGCTTACAGACGAGAGTGAGTAACAGATGTTTTGATTCCTGACAGACACATGTGCTTTTTATAAGTGCAGTTAAAATACCTAAAATATCAACAGTGAATGGCCGTTATTCACATTAACAGAGTCAGAGATAAATAGAATACAGTGTTTCTCCATAACAGACCAACAGACAACATTTTCATCACCAGCTCATCTCCTTTTCTACACTATTTTCAATATTCCTCC